AATTTTTTTTCGTTTTTTATATAAAGTCGAGCAGACGGACTTTTATTTTTGTGCGAACTTTAATCGTGTACAAGAAATTTGCAATTCTGTAAAGCCAATTAAAAGATATCCCTAATTTAAAAATGTCGGTAAAACAGAGAGACTCCAGCATCACCTTAACATTTAATATTCACACAATATTACATTATTCTGACGAGGTAAAACAGTTTTTATTAACGTCAAAATGAAAAAGAAAATTATAAAGGTAAATTATCATCGATCAATTAAAAGACTGTGAATCCAATTGAACTAAAATTTTATTCGATAAGAAATCGATCTGTAGAAGCCCTCCACCACCCCCGCCGATTTTTTACAATTTCTTATAATTTATTTTACAATATTATAACAGAAGTACTTACATTATAAAATTAAAGATATAATATCTGCGTAATGCAATATTTCTCTCGACATTACACACGAAATATTCGGCATGCGTCCAAGTACAAGCGCCATTCAATCAAGAATTATATGTATAATTTAATTATTGGGATATATTTTATTAAACAGAAAGACATTTTTATCTTATCTACAAAAGTATTATTAACCGCGCCGAATAGTTTGGAATAAAAGAATGTTCTCGAACGAAGTGTGTGGTGTGTGTGTGCGTGTGTTTTTTGACGGCGCTCGGCTGTCGACCGAATTGTTTACAACGCTCGGTTTATGACCCTACGTCATTTCTCGGAATCCACGCTCGGTCTACGGCGCTCGGCAAAACAAGGTCGCAGGATCATTTACGCGGCGACAGCGAACGGAGTCGGTTGTATGTACCCGCGCCGCTCTGCACGTCGAATTATTCTTTCGTGTTACGCGTTCGCGACTGTACATACATGGTTTGAAGAGAAGAAGACAGCCGTTCGGCTCAGGCCTTACGAAATCCGGGACTAAGGGCAATCCTTGCTGTACAAATCCTAGATTGGAAAGTTAATACCAATTACTCAGGGTTTCCATTGACGATAAGGCACGAAATAGCGTATCGCAAACGCCACAAGTTATTACATCGATCGAGATACTTTTGGGCAAGATTTTTGTAATTGCGCGGTTTCGTGTACTTAGCGCGCACCGCGTGCAGAGCAGTGCATGTAATCGATTTTACTATTGAACGGTTGGCAGTGGATTGCGAAGTCGCTCCCGTTTCGTCGTACCGGGAGTCGCTGTCGCGTTCCAGACTCTTTAATCGCGAATCGACGGGATAGTTTGCCGATGGGAGGCTCGAGCGAACGAGGACGGGCCCGAGGATCGACCGGAGAACAGATTCGAGGGTCCCCGGCGCCGTGGAAGTCGTCGCGGACGGTAATTCGCGTCGTCGCGAGTGCCGCGAAGTTGCCGCGCTTCGGCAATTGCGTCGCGTCGCGAGTGTTACGTGCTTCTGTGTGTGTGTGTCAAGTGTTTCGACGCGTAAAAAGGCGTGTCGAGAAGTGCGCGTGTGGCGAAAATCGCCGTATCGAGTGAAGAAAGCGTGCGGTGAAGAGCGAAAAGTGTTTGAAGTGCCCAAAAAGGAGTAACGGCCGTACGGATATCCAAGATGTCTGCCATTGGGGCATCAAAGCGTACTCAGCGTACTAATGGCGAGTGAGAAGACGGACATTTTCCGACTTGCGATCGTCAGGCAAAAGCGGTGAGTCGAGAGGTGAAATTGTTAGATTTTCGGGCGTCAAACGCCGTTTTCGATGCCAAAAAGTGACGTAGTGCCGCGAACACCGGACAAAAACAGTTTATTGTGTCGAATCATTCGGCGCGGATGCTCCGCGTTTTCTCATTTCTCAAGTGCGTTTGAGTAATCGTCGCGATCTGTAAAATCGTATCGTTAATTTCTTCGTTGTTCGCGTGTGACGCAGTGATTCGTGCGCATTAGTATTCGGACTCTGTGACAGTTGGACACAGGGAAAAAACGGCATTTAGATACTGACTTTTCGCGAGTGACTTTTCACCTGAATAGAGGAGGACAGGCATATTGGATTAACGTGGATACAACTCCGCTGCAACGCTTCGTGTCGGTGAGCGAGTAGTTTTTTTATGAAGGTAACGGAATCTACATTTCGTAGATCCGTTACCTTAAAAATGGATAGGTTATACAAGTAATTACGCTTTTCACTTAATTTATTTTATTGAAGAGAGGATTTCGTAGAGCTCCACAACTCAGAGTACATTGAGCTCATTTTTTATATTGAAAATCGTTTAACTGCATCGCAGAACTTGCGCGAAATATGACGAATATTGTAGTCTATCCATTTTTAGTAGCAAATTGATTTACGTGTGTATAAAGTAAAATTGTATGACGTAAGATTGCAATACATTTTGCCGGGAATACTTAAATTTTAAATTATTTTCATACTTATTTTAGATTATTGATTAATTGTAATGTCGATTTTATAATATCGGAATGTAGCAAGTGCCTTCTCGATCTTACGTCATTTATTGTGCATGTGATAGTTTCGTGATATTTTCAAGATGCGTTTTGCATGAATACATGCATAGAACATACGCATCTCATATTTTTGCGATCAGTTTTCGCGGTCGGTTTTCGCGGTCGGTTTTCGCGATCGGTTTCAGAATAAAATTTTCAAGAAATGATTTAATTTATCGCGGAATATAAGTGAAATAAATGTAACGCAAAGTAAAATTTGATATTTATGCTTGAATTTTATATTTAAAATTTAAATGTCGAGTCACGAAGAGACGGTCTCTTGAAAACGGAAGTACAATTAAGATACTTTGATCAGTTTTATACATAAAATTTTTTACAATTAAATTTCTTTAAATAACTTTTCTCGTGGTCGTGCATTTTTTGATACGGTCGACGCTCGCACGTAGTTCGAATCGTACGAAATATCTGTCGGTGACAAACCGACTGTGGAAGGAGTTTTTTCTTCCTTTCTGATCGCTGGTCAAAATGACCAGACTGTATGGCCAGTCGACTAAAGGTAAGTCCAATCTGGCCCGACGATGATATAAGTAACGTGTTGTACGAAATAAGTTCATTTCTTCTTATTTGTCAAAATTCGGGTGGGTTATCTTATCTTGTTTGCATATTCTCGCATATGTGCAAAGATTTAAAAATTAACAAGACCCCTATTAAATTCCGGACCTATGTATACGACCGTGTAGAATTGTTTAGCTATAGTATAACTAGTATGTCCACTCTCTGTCGGCCCCTTTGATCTTTGCGGTCTCGATCACGTGGTATTCTCACATACAATTTTTCTCTTATTGGTCTGCCCAGAGCAATGTCAGATGCGTAGAAGAAATTTATGTAAAACGAAACAAATGACGGAGGGGACCTACTAGTTAATACCAATTGTTTCGCTGGATAGTAACGCCCTCTCAAATATGCGACGGACGTAAGAAATGATTAGTCGAAATACCCTTTCGTGAACGATAACGGGAAAACTGCAGTTACCTACCTACGAGATATCAGGATAAATGTAAATCGCAAAAAAACATAATCAAAATGCAGTTCTTGCACATTACTGCGTATTTTACATTTATTACTAAACTTGGTATCATTGTTAAAAATATATTTGAAATTATCGGAGATACGATAATCGCGAGAAAAGTTCAACTCGAAATGGATTAATTACGGTATGATATTTTGTATTATTTAAGTATGAAATTATTTCTGGACAAATAATATTATTTGCACGGCTTTACTTTGATGTCACAATCGTATTTTCATTTCTTTTAAAATCGTTTTAAAACTAAAATAATTCTATATAAAAATCTAAATAATTAGATATAAATTCATGTAAATCATGGCATCATATGCAGACATAATGCAGTACGACGTAACTTTCGCGACAAAAACGGGACACAGTGTTACTATAATAAAAAAATTTATATGAATATAGATAAGGTCTAGCATTCAAAAATCTTGATAGGATAATAAAATTGAGAACATATAATTCAAATTTGTTATATTATCTTCATACATCTTGAGACATGTACGTCGTTGTTTTCTGCGTCGATCATTTTATAAGTATTGATAATATTTATAATAACAATCTAAACAGTCACATACTTATTTCTATAGATTTCTTAAACCATATTTTTTATTTTACATATGGATCTTTATTTTTTCTATCCTATAATCGATCAATGTTCACCACACGTCTGCGTAGAGAACAATCGGCATTCGGTTTAAATTTTTTTTTTCATGAAACTATATTGTCGAGGATCTCTTTTTCCAAAATGCTGACAATATCCAGTGACAATAGAAGTTTTGCCAAAAGTGATACGCATATCGTTCGGTTGAATTTGAAATATTTTTCACACGTGGATAATAGACAGGGTCTATACAGGGTTCAGAAAAATTTAACCGATTGGTCCAATAGTTCGAACGGTATATAAGGTGTCACAGAAATCCCTCGTAAATTATTGTATATCACGTGTTAAAAAGGAAGGGTGATTATAATACGGAATCATATATATATTTTTTCAATGGAACAATAATTTGAAAGCCATCGCTTGTTACAATACCGATTGTTCGGAGGTATCAAATCTAAGATATGGCGGGATTCGTGGTGCAAAGCCAGGCGCAAAATAAATTCAAGCATGTAGAATGAGATTTTGTTAACAAGTTTTCGCGAGAAAATCTGCCTTGATAATCGGGGAATTAACGATGAGTATCACTTTAAACTTTTTTTACATTCTTGCCCTTTTTGTATACAAAGATAATATCGTATGCACTGTTAAATTTGTAACTTTAAGTCAATAAGTGGTCGCCACTGCTCTTACTCAATATGTCGTTTGATTTAATGAAACAATGGAGATAATATAAACTTGAAAATGAGTTGAATAAAATACGTAGTTCTTCTTTAATGACAAGATATGTTAAATGAATAAATTTTACCACACATGATAGTTAACAATAACAACATATTGAGTAGGAGCAGTGGCGACTACTTATTGAGTTAAATTTAAGACTACAAATTTAACAGTGTGAGAGACAATCCAATTGCGAATTTTCTGACGGCGGGACGGTGTGTGCTATTTATTAAATTTATAAAAGGTAAAATATTTTATTTTGCATACGAAATAAGTCTCTAAAAAGAAGACGATCAACAACTTCGATGTCGTAACGCGAGTTCATTTCGATATTCAGGTAGTGTATTTCTACACGAAAGAATGATACATATGTACATAGAGAAACTTGCACTATATATATGCTTTTATATATAATTTATGTACACGGTACATATGTCGTATATACCTCTTCTTGAAAATTTTCTTTTATATTAAGAACTAAATTTTTTTTCCAATGAATTCTATTATTTTTTTGTAATGTGTGTGACTCTAAGATAATTCCCTTGAATATCATAAAAGTATTTATATTATGTACACAATATAGTTATTTGTCCCGGAGATCACATGAAACGATTATAGTATACTGTTAAAAAGTCGTCATTCGCGGCAATAGAAGATTTACATGGACTATGAAAATCATTGCTCGAATGATTTATTAACATCATTATAGGACCGGTTATAACAAATAAAGTAATGATTTATACAAAGAAAAGGGATAGTTTTATGGCTACTTAATTGCGTTAATTTTGTCAATCTTCATTTTTTCATTAACGTGACTAGTTGATATTAATTAATTTTGCACTATCAAAAAATTTTGAAACAACTATCAAAATACGAAACGTCTTTTTAAAATACCACTATCTCCATCGATTTGAGATCTTTGTGTACTTCTAATATTAAATAATGATATTTAATATAATTTGACGCGAGTTTCGAGACAGATAAGAAATAAAACAGAGTATGTAGTAGTTAAAACTACTTACGTCGCAACACATTTCACAAAGCTCGCGCGGTTCCAAGTATCTCAAAGAATATTATACATGATCGTCGATAACAGAAAAATAGTTAGATTACAGGATGTCCTATCGAAACTTTATTATCTATAAATGTTTCTAAAATGCAATGCATGTTAGAATAAAACAAATCTAATGCTTAAGCTAACATATAAAGACTTTTAGAGATGGAAATAAGTTTTTCAACATAAATTGATTCGTTTTGTCATTCTGTGTATAAAAATATAAAAATTAAAATTATTGAAAGTGATATTATAAGATAGTCCGCAAAGTACTTTATTCTGGATGTATTTGATAGTTAAAATTTTTATGTAAAATATAAAATATCTCTTACAGACATGAATTCTTTTAACCGCGACGATATGGAAGCAAATAATGCTTGCTGAGAAATGATATAATATTTTGTAGAAAATTTATTGAAGATTTTAATAGAAATCATAGAAAGAAAATAGTCTTGCCAGATAATAGAATTGGACGCGTGTATAGGACATCCTGTATATTTAAACTATACTCTAGCAATAAATGCAGAAAGATACGTATGGCACTCTCGATCGGCCTGCACATTCCACTGCGTTCGAATGCTGGCCGAGTTATTAAAGATATGTTTAGTCTGTATCGACATTTTTATCAGAAGTAGAACCTCCTCGTTTTATTTGGCATCGCGTTACAATAAATTTCGATTCAAGCCGTATAACTTCACTATTGTCGATGATATGTACTCAGGCTTCGTTCTTCGATACTTGTAGGTTCACTTACGATCGCCCCATCCGGCGCTATTGTAAAACCAAGATGAAGTACCTTCGTCTCTCGTTTTGCTCCATGAATTATCAAGGCCGCTACCTCCATTATCCTAACAATCCGACAGTGCTTTTGCTTATTATTGGTTCTTTCACTCCGCACACATGCGGCACGATATCGTTGATTTGTGTCTGTGCAAACGACTTAGAGAAAATGAGAGCGTTATTTTACCCACCACGTTTAACTGATGCGAGGCGGGCGAGAGGTAATCCATATTGGTATAGTAGGAATAATTTTGATAGCATTGCTGCTGGGAAGGGGTTGTCGTCCACGTTAATCTTTGATGATCCCCCGGAAATGCTCCGCCGCTTTCCGTTACCGCCGGACTCCAGATGCTACTGCTACCGCCACCGCTGCTGTACACTGGGCCACCTAACTATTGAAGAATAGAAATGAAATTTCTCTCTGAGCATAGCAACAGATATTCCGCCTATAAAGAAATGTTTTTAAAGAAGTGACTTCTCGCGAGAGAGAGAACAGAAAATGCTGGAATATAAGCCGACCTATTATATGCGAGTAAACGTTACATGCGTCGAAGGTATTGCTATAATCCCATCCACTTACGCTCGGTGGAGTCGTGCTAGCTGCTAACAGCAAACTAGCGTTTCCCGCAGGCTTATATTGCGGCGAGTCCCTTAAAAGCGCCGGCGAACTTGCCGCCGAGCCGCCCGTGCCTCCGCTCCTAAACACAGAGAGATTATATACAGTTGTAACAAACGTACGGAAACACCGAATTTACATGGCGATCAATCGCGCTGCAATGGACGTTTTAAACTTGACGCGCTCGAGACCGCGGGACGCGAGCGTACGTATCCCGACAATATCTATCGCGTGCTGCAATTAGAATACTAATTATCAAGCTAATTAAGTCACTGATTATCTCTCACGGACACGTTCCCGTCCGAGATAAAAGTCGTTAGCGCGATTACGGACGTACGCTAAAGATAAGCGCTCATTAAGATAAGTGATATTTACAAGGGCGTAGTAGCAGGTACAGCGGCGGCGGGCGTAGGCGGGGTGGTAATTGAAGGACTCTTTCCGGGGGGTGGATTGTTAGCCGGGCTCCCCGAGGGCTTTTTCGATCTCGGCGCCTTGTCTTGCTGTTGTTGTTGCTGCTTCTGCTGCTGCCGGCACTTGGCTCTCCGATTTTTGAACCATACCTGCAGGCACACGCGAAATTATTGGCGGTATCACTGCGGTTGCGTAATCGGACGGCTGTATTGCCGTTAAAATAATAACAAGAGTAAGTCGCGCATCTGTCGCGAAATGAGTCAAGCGATATTTTCACGTTCCAACGATGCGTAACACAAATGTGATTCAGAACGAATCCGGAGAGCCGCGCAGAGCTCTCGCAAAGCTGGCGTAATAGCCAATTATAAGGGAATGCCGGACTGGCACGACTATCAATTACCAATCAAGCTGACTGCAGCAGCGCGAACGAAAACGCGCGCACGCATATCGGACACGCAGAGCTACCAGGCTGCCGCTAATGCAACAGAATTACGAAAACCGATCGGAGTATAGGTCGTCCCACACACCGAGCAACTTCTCTGAATAGAATAAGCCGATTTCGCGTACCAACGGGCTCGCTCCGGGTTTGCGTTCAAAGTGTCCACTGGTTTTGCACGAACACCTTGTAATGAAGCTGCTAATTATACTTATGCAGACTAAAAAGCGTTCTTCTCTTCGCCGGCGCGCGAACGGTATCGATTACATCGGCGGGACATGGCCGGGCGTTTCGACAATGTTTATCTCACCAGCGTGCATCGGAATGTAATATTATATTTGCCCGTTGCCGGCCGAAGGGGATATCTTTGCACCGAGACTCGGAAATACCATTCGCGCATTCGATTTCATTATCGTACGACCCCTAATAGCACAATATATTGGTGCAATGTTGAGAAATAATGTAAATCTAGTATTCCCAATACTGGTCCAATATTGTAAGATGGACGCCTTCTCTTATTTAGTCAATATGTCTATTTATCGGTTTAGTATTGTATCCATATTAGACCAATGTTCTTATTACATTGTTAAATATTGGCCAATGCACTGCCAATATAAATCTAATATTTTATAATTATTATCCTGCAATATTTACATTTATTTCACGGCCAATATTGACTTTACGTTAGACAGTAGCAGCCAAACCATTTTTTCTTGGACCAACACTGGTCCAACATTGGACCAATGTTTAGCTAATGCACTGTGCTACTAGGGACGCGTGATGCGTGAAAAATAACGCGACGCCCTCTTGTTCGCCCTTAAAAATGGTACATCGGGCCGATAAGGGGATGTACGGAGGGACGGGGCGAGTGGAAAGACGTAGAAGGGAGAGATGCGACAGGAGGAGAGAGTGGAACTTGGAGAAGCCTCTCGCGCGATCGATGTTAGAAGCGGAGGCGAGCTTGGGTTTCTACGGATTTTCTGGGGGGCGATACTAACGGCGCGCTCTTCGCGTTCTTCCGTCGAAGAAGTCTCTGGTGTACGCACCGCCGTAACTCGAATCCTTTGCTTTCAATAGAATATCGCCAAAGTTCTTTTTTTTCATACGACTGGATCGCGGCTCTCTACGCTGACATCGAGAAATATTGGCGGGACGTCAACGTTGACTTGTCTACCATAAGAATTTCATAATAGCGCACTTACATTAGACGTCAATTTTCCTTTATTTCAATGGCGATAATAGGCTTGGTGTGTAATCCGATTCGTCTTTTCTCTTGATATGGCGCAATTGATCAATCACTGATTCATTGATTAACTGGTAAATGGTATCATTAAATTCACGTAGGTCTCGGTTTGTCTTGCTAAGTACAATTACAAAAATTAATTTTTAAGTGTGCAATCGCGAAGTGGCATTGTCGCATTCCGTTCACGACAGAAACTAGCTGTAGCGATCTACAATAGAAGACCGTTCGTGTTCGAGAAGTTATCGAGGGTCCGAAATGGTCGACAGAGCGGCCTACGGTTTTGCAGTCGTCCGACGAAACGTGCGGAAGACTATGGCCCGCGTTGGGTCCATTCATCCCGTTTACACTGCTATCGCCAGGTGTGTTGGATGGCGATTGCGGATGCGGATGCGCCCTTTGCCGTGATGAGGGGTGTAATATGCGCGTGCACGTTTTCGGACTCCGTGGACATCGAACTCAGCATGGGCGAATGGTATCTCACGGTGTCAGCCGAGCAGTTGCCAAAATGTTGATTTCATAAATGTCATCCTTCATGTAGGTTTTCGCGGTATTGTAGCTCAGAAAAATTCTTTTGACTTTCTGCTATTGAGCAAGAGTATCACCGAGGGGATCATTGTTTGCGATTTTATGTTAGGGTGAATGAATTTTGACCTTTATGAATCGTCCGAGAGAGTCTGAGAAAATCGTTCGGTGCTTTTCACACTTTTTATGCCATTTTTTATTTACCTTCGTTTTAAATAATTGCACACACAACTGCAATTGCACTTTAAATGCACAAATGCAATTTACGTTCCATTTTCCTCTGTTAAAATTTTATGTGGTCGCGTTGAATAACGTTGTAGCGCTCTTCGTGTATCGTCAACACTTCAACATGTGTTACGTTCGCAATCTATGTTAAAGGGAACTTAAAAAACGCACGTGTGTGTGTGTGTAAAACTTGAAATTAAATTCTAGTAAATTTATCTTTCATCCTACATACACGGAGAGAATTTTCTTTTAAAATGTACTCTGAAAATCATGTAATCGTGGGGACATGGCAGTTCAAAGAATTTTATGAGAGCTTTTTGAAATTTTACCATACATTTTACTAGTAAAATGTGCACTAAGTGTAATTGCTAGTAAAATGTATGGTAAAATTTCGAAAAACTTTTATAAAATTCGCCAAAATGTTGTCCCACATTTATTTGATTTTCGGGATACATTTTAAGAAAAAATTCTCTCCGTGTAAGGTGTTTTGTCCTCAAAATAGTGGGTATTTATAAGACGAACGATCAATTTACAACAGTTAACTTCAACGAAGGACATATGAGAGGGAATCGATGTTGTCTGCGTGCCGATAGTGCGCACCCCTCGGTAATTAGACACCCTTGCGTTCTCTTCGTCAAGAGAGAATACGTGGAATTTTTTTACCGCGATACGGAAATATTTACGAGAGTATTTTTCACCCGTTTCACGTTACGTACTGTTTCTACGTATTTCTTGACGTAGTAATGTAAATGTTATGAATAATACCGAATTGTTATACACGGTTCTTTACGTGCGATAGTTATAAGTAAAAATAGTTTGGGGAGGAGCAGATTGTTGTCAACGGCTTACCTGCACTCTCGATTCCGGTAAATTGATTTTCATAGCCACTTCCTCGCGCATAAAGATGTCTGGGTATTTTGTTCTTGAAAAGAGCCCCTCCAGTATATCCAACTGCGATCGCGTGAATGTCGTCCTCTCCCGCCTTTGCTTTCTTGGATTGCCTTTAATATACAATTTTTTATGACAGCGAATAGGATTTCTTTATTTGTTCGTTTATTTCCAATTTTTCTCTCGTGTATTTACGAACGACATCGATATCGGTATTTAATTAACGTATGGTAATGCGCTTTTAGAGGTTTAGAAAGAGTGAAGAATCGATTTTCTTCCGAAAGATAATAATTAATATTCGAGGGAAATAATTCTTTTCTATTAATCTCTAAATTTACGATTGCATTATTTCGCGCGACATGATATCAACAATAGCAAATGAATAAATTTCACCGGGTTATCCGTGCGTTACGGTGTGCAGATCAACTACATTTAATAACTAATCGATAATGATTAATAAAATAAATAGAATAAATGTGAACCAGTTATTAATAACTAAATTAATAGCAGTGATATAATATTTTCACGAGTTGGATGCAACTTCGGTACATAATGCAAAAGCTTTTACATTAACACGATTAATGAATAATTTTGTATTGTATCATTATTAGCATTTCTACGCTTTACCAAACGTACTTTCTCCAATTACAGTGAAACATTATAATTCATTACAACAATTTTCTCGCATTTTTAGTATAATTATATTAATACGCATAAAAATGGACCGACATGAAAGCAGTCTAATACTTTCGCACTTTGCTCGCGTTGATGACTCAATTGAGAGATAAAGAGTTAATTCGCGCTTCGGTTCGGTTAAAAGTAATAAAAAATGGCGTGGGCACTCACAGTAGACGGACTCACCGGCGGGTGTACAACCGGGATAACCGATAGTTGAGTGCAGCGCGTCGATCGGCATGCTGAGGCCCATGTAGGGCGCTGTCTTGAGGGCGCCATAGGGTCCCGCGGCGGACGCGCCGAACGCCCCGGGCCCAAAGAGCTCGGAGGCCGAGGTGGTGGAGGCGGCGAGGCCCCCGAGATCGGCGGCGCCGGCGCCCCCGCTGCAGCCGGAAGTACCTCCAAGGCTGTTCGGCCACATCACCACCCCCTCGGCCCCCAGCACGACCACCCTCCCGCCGCGGTCTCCCTAAAGAGACGTCCTCAACGTCCAAATTATGCGTTTTGTCTGGAAAAACGACAGAAATCAGACTGAAATTTTCATTGTACACAGGCCTGTGTCCACGATGCTAGAACTTGCTCCAAGTTTCGTGAAATGTGTAGTCAATCGACTTGCAGCTATTCCATAAAAGCGGAAACAGAACTTGGACCAAGTTCTAGTATCGTGGACACAGGTCTCAAATGTTGACAACTGCAAACTATCTTATCGAGAAATACTCGTTTGCTTCATACACGAGTGAATTATACACGGAGAAAATTTTCCCTGAAAGTTATGGTAGTCGTGGGACAACATGGCGTTTCGAAGAATGTTATGAGGGTTTTTGGAAATTTCACTAGACATTTTAGCAAATTTTTAAGTAATCTAAATGTGTAGTAAAATTTAAAAAAAAACTCATAAAATTCTTCGTGCAAGATATTAAAAAATTACGGCTAATATAAAGCATGCGGAATAAACAGAAATTATTATGAGATGTCAAGGATTCAAATGCAAATCGTCTTTCTATCGGCGAACATTATTTATCGAAAGTGCATAAAGTGAGAGAAGAAGAAACAAAACTTAGTTTTCCTCTCTCTCCTTCTCTCTACATCCTTCTCACCAATAATCTTATTTGTTTCGACTATTTTCCTTTACGGGAAGTGAGATAAGAACCGACTTTGAACGTCACGCACCTCACAGACACTCGAAACTGAAAATTGTCCCGTCGGTTATCAGGCAGACCGTCTCACGTCGTCAAAGAAAGAATAGTAGGTACTTTAGGCAAACGCAAGCCGATTGCGTTGTCCGGCATGGAAATAAGAATGACGCGGTTGGCAGCTGCATGAGATAATCCAACGAAGGTGCAACAGGACTCCGCGGTATTCTCGGAGGAGCCGCAGCGCTCGCAACCTAATTCCGAAAATGTACCGGCGGCCCGAAAACCGGGAACGTCGAAAGGCTCGACCCTGAATATGCGCGACACATGCATGCAAGCCTTTCCGCTCTTAGCCGCTGACTTAAGTCGCGTTTTATCCTCTCCGATTACAAAGTCAGGAACGACTATCGCTCCCTTCCTGCACCATCGCGGACGATCCACCTTCCCCGGTGGTGGCGGCTTGTTAATTTATTTTGCCGCCACGTTTATTACGTCTGTGCACATCTGCGATATGCCGAATGACGACGAGACACGTATTGTTTTCGGCCTCCCGGACGGTCGCCGTCCACATGTTTCGGATTAAGGGGTGCTAATCGGTAAATAATTAATGCACAACGAGGAGCAATTGAATAACGGCAGCGTCGCGAACGTCACGATGCGAGTGTCTGTTGAATACAAGATGCAGGGAGATGTTGCTTTTAAATACTCTTTGCCACGTGCAATAAAAAAAACATAAAATAAATATAAATTGAACGTAATCCAATATTTTTCGGAGCGATGGGATTTACATAACGGCACAGTCTACGAAGTTGAAATTAAATCCAGGTAAACCGAGGGTGGGATTTTACAAGTCAAAAATTTCTACTCAAACTAGTGTTCTCGCTGCGAAATGTGTACTTTCGAAATGAAATCTTACACTGCCTTTTAATAACGTATTGTTCCGTTTCCTCTCTCAACCGCGCGCTATATTGAAACGAGATTTCATTGAACAGAACCGCGTCATATATACAAAAGGCCTCTTCAAAGTACTAATAGAGCTGCCGCAGCGTGAGTCTTTTCGCGTAAATATAGACGAAACACCCACGTTCACCCTCATACGTCGTGGCGTGTGTACATTGCATCCTGTTGCGCCCGCAATTGAAATTTGTGCCCGACTACTGTTGAAATTTGTTCTGCTGCAATTTAACTACCGGGCGCGTAATACGTATGATAAGTGGCTTTATGACATACCTAATATCGGCCCGTCCCGCTGTAACGATTTAAATATATTCACGGTCTCGCGCAAACATATGTTACCAGCTTGCGCGAAAGAAAAAAGAAATTTTAATCCCGCAAATTAGAATGTTAAATTGGTCGTTAGAAAATCAACATTATTTACTTTACGCGAATAAAACTGGCACACTTGGGCGTGATCCGTACTGCAATTTACGCTCTGAAAGGGAAGCAAGTTTCGCGTCGATAAAATAACGCTTCCTTTTTCGGTGTACATGGAGCGACGAGCGCACAGACGGTACATCGTTCGAATGAAATTACGAATACTTAATACGTAATATCGTAAAAGGTGAGCTCGCGCCCCGTATTGCGTTTCTAATATTACGTCTCATTACGCTCGCGTGCAAATTTTCCCCGATCTCCTCGGGACCGGAATAAAGTTGCTCGTTGAAAAAGAATCCATAGAGTATACAGTACCCCGTGACGCCGCCTCTCGTCCTGGTTATATTAAAATTTTGCCCGCTATGAAAGGAAGGACGGAGGACGAAGAAAGAGGGGTGGGGTATTCTCCCGAGTCCTTCTGAAATCAGTCGAGCGCGAATCTCCACTTTTGCACACTTATGTGCCTCGCGCTGGCCACAAAGCACTTGTTACACGTCAGGCATGGGCAAAAAATGCTCAAAACAACTGTCACTTTCAAACAATTTTTAACGACGACTGTACTGCGCACCCTCACGCATTATGCGCCAAACTTTCTCTCTCTTTTTCTTACTTGTTTTTTTTCCCGATAGCGACTTCACACCTCTACACCTTTTTATTTAACGATATCTCCGAATCATTGCAAAGATATCGCTGCAGAAAACTGCATTGCAAAAGTCCTTTTTTAACATTATCTTCGTCATTAAGTCCAATTAATTTTTTTTCATAAAAAAATTCTGATTATTGCGTCGTGGATAAAAGCACCAGCGAAGTGTGTCGTCGACAAAGCGGCAGATTTATTTGCGCCTTCGTCATATTAAAATGTCGTCGCGGGAGAAGAACAAAGATAGAAACGGAAGACGAGGGAGAGAGCGACAACGGGGCACTCGACGGTCCTCTTATCGCAATAGCCAGAAGTCTCTTTATTTTTGTGCACTTTGGTGGCGCGGGACAATGCACTTGTTACAGGCCGCCAAGTGTGGACAAAATGTCCAGGCCGCCACTCGATTGGCCCTCGAGGGCACTCGAGTGGTCTACGACCCTGTGAAGAACCCGAGAGGAGCGATCCAACTAAAGAAAGATAGCCGGGGTGCCTTTTACACCCGCGCGTACTTTTCCGACCCTCCTTTCCGAAAATCGATCTCCCGCTGCAACGAGCTACCCCCACCGCAGCCCTTCGGCAGTTCGGCCCTAGCGCAAACACTTTGCGTTACCAATCGACAGATATATACCGGCATGCCATCCCTAATGACTGTTAAATCCCCATTATTACGTCCCGGCCCGTGTATGCCGCACGAGAGGGAGAGAGATGGAGTTTTACCCTCTCGTGGCCAAAGAATACAATTTACAGATACGTCCGGCAGACCGTATCTGCGGATCGGTTAAGCCAGCAAGGCTCGCACGTGCGTTTCGCTGTTGCACCTTAAGTCCGCAACAAAGAACCCCGCATTAATCTTATGGGAAATGGGATCTTGGTAAAAGTGGTTAGTTTTCTCATACGTTGTAGCTTATAACCTGCTAAACATACATATGCAATCGGCTCAAAGCTAAATAACGGATGGCTACTGAGCCACTGCGAGTCAAACACCAAAACTTGGGATCTGAAAGTCTTGTTTGAGAGCACTTTGAAGCGCATTAGAAAAAAATATTTAAGCTAAATAATCTAAGCAATATAATCTCTTTTCAAGATTTTCGCGTTGAAAGTAAGCATATTTTCAAAAGAAGAATATTCTTTTTTTTCTGCGCACGGCGCTACTTTTAGGGTGAAATCTTATCTGAAAACGCGAACAAGTGAGCGAGCCAGACTTGGTGTAAGTTTCACCGAGACAGTCAAGTATTTTTCAGCAGTTTACGCGGTAATAATTCGCGGGGAAGTCATAACGCGAAGGGATGCGATCGCGACAAGACGCGGCGCAACTCATCGGAAACAACTCCGAGGCGGCATTCGTCGCGGGGGATGCAACGTCGTTTCTGCATTAGGTAGCGCGGTCTGCGGCTTCGGTACATCCGACGGTACACGAAGAACGACACACTGCCGTATAGCTATCCCAGAAAGTTAAGTCGCGGCCGCATTGTTTCCGGGAGTATTTGCACACAACCGCATTGTTCCCGAAGAGCCCCCCTTTCCGGCCCCGGTTGTAGCGCCACAATGAACGCGCGCGTATGTATTATATACGCTGCGTCAAGTACAGCCGCGAGTATCGCGAGGAAAAGCCAGAAGGCACTTGTGAAACGAGCGAGGCATTAGCCGATGCCGCGGACGATTTTTCAAGATTACGCCGGTGCTCGAGGACCACGGCGTAAATGCGCATACGTGCTCCCGCCGTGATAAGTTTGCAATAATCTTTGCGCGTCGAGCACGCCTTCGTTCTTATTCCCAAATACATAACTTATTATCCTCGATATATAGTCGTAAAAAGACAGAGCAAAGTCTCCTATCATGAGACAGACTCCTAATATGCGATGACGGGGCTTCTAAATTAATAAGCATCATCTGTCAAGTTCTACCGTGAATTTATTGCCCTTGGAGTAAAATCTGTTTAGTGGAAAATTCATTGTTCGATCGTGCAATCGTTGCGAAAGAAGTTTTCTGATTGAATTCGGACGGTGAAAATCTACTGTCTCATATTAGAAGCTATAGGACATAATAGGGCACTTTTCTTCTGTAATAAAATTGATATTCTCGATATTGCACGCTGCGCAACGAATGATTACGTTTGAGCGACACTTAGTTGACCCGATACACAAAGGACACGGGAAACTTTCTCATTACCTGCTGTTCGATAGAATCGTAATTAATTCAATTACCTAACGACACTGGACGCTCGCAGCTGCGCCGAGCTCGTGGTCCACGCCGGAGATTGTAACGTCTGGAGAA